AAAAAAAAAAAAAAAAAGATTAGAAAAACTCTGTATTTATATATATGTATAATTAGTGATTAAGAATTGAATCATTTGTGACATATTTTTTTTTTTAATTATTTTTACTTTTTAGATATCACGTGACTTATTGATTTTTGCAGGAGGACCACATATCTATACTTCTATAGAACTGAAAATGGTACTACTGATTAGCCTTTTGTTTTTGCAGTGCCACCATTTTCTACAAATTCAAGATAAAAAATAAAAATAAAAATCCCGTGAAAAGGTAACTTTTTCTGACTTTACTGTGGACAACATTCTGGAAACAGCTTTAATTTCCGTGAAAACAAATATACTAGTGTGTCTCCATTTTTGTTTTCTTTTTTTTTTTTAAATATTACGTTATCCAATGTTTGATTGTTTATTTGACGTAACATTTATATTAATATTTTTCATTTAATTAGGTCAATTATTTAGCAGAGCTTGATTCTATATATGTTAATTAAGATAATTCAATTTTTTTTTTCTTACTTTGTTGTTAATTCGTTAAGAAAAATAATTTGTGATTAGAAGCTGAACTTAGTGACTATGTTTGGCTTGTATTGGACCTTTGATTTCCTGTACTTTGTGACATATGTGTTAGAATATCACTTGTAAGTTGTCTCACATCGTTCATACATGGAAAATAGACTCACCTTATAAGTATAATGGGCTACTCCTCCTTCCACCAATTGGTTTGGGATAGAACCCCACTTGGGCTTCATATGGGTTTTTCCCTCTAATGGTGCGCTTCATGTTAGTGGGACCGCACCCCTTTTCCCCCAGTTTCTTACATGGTATCAGAGTCGCACCCTTTTTCTCCCAGTTTATGGGAGTCTACTTCTAGTATGCTTGGGGCACCCAGTTTTATGGGAGTTTATTTCTAGTATGCTTGGGGCACCCAGTTTTATGGGAGTCTACTTCTAGTATGTTGGGGTACCCAGTTGGGCTTGGGCTTCTCGACTCTGTTTATGGGAGTCTGCTTCCCCACGTACCCGTTTATGGGAGTCTGTTTTCCCACGTACCCGTTTATGGGAGTCTACTTCTAGTATGCTTGGGGCACCCAGTTTTATGGGAGTCTATTTCTAGTATGCTTGGGGCACCCAGTTTTATGGGAGTCTACTTCTAGTATGCTTGGGGCACCCAGTTGGGCTTGGACTTCCGAAGGACTCACAAGTAAGGGAGCGTGATAGACCCACCTTATAAATCTAATGGGCTACTGCTCCTTCCACTAATTGGTTTTGGATGGAACCCCACTTGGACTTCATATGAGCTTTTTCCTCTCATGGTGCGCTTCATGTTAGTGGGACCGCTCCTCTTTTCCCCCAGTTTCTTACAATATGTATATATATTGGGAATGACAAAAATTTTAAAATATAATTTCCAATTGTAATAGTACATTGTCGATCGGTTCAATTTTTTGTACTACGTAAATAGTAAATACACATATAATCGACTATTAACTACTAAGTTAAGGCTTCGTTTGATTCATCGATTTCAATTTTGAACTATTCTAATTCTTTGAAATTATAAAATATCTACTCCATATATATTCAAATTAATTAAATCATGCATCACGAAAATTATCTTTCATGAAATTTAGGACACGGTCATTTGTTACAGCTGTTGGTAAAAAAGAACAAAAATAAGGAAAATGAAGGATTTAATTGCAATAATTGAAGGATGAAAAAAACACAGGAAAAGACAAAGATGAAAACGTCAGACAGACAGAGCTGTTGGTTTTTTTGATGGGCCGTTTGAAGAACTAAAAGAAAGAAGTGATACCTCCTCATCCACACCCATCTCTCTCTCTCTCTCTCTCTCTCTC